TTCCACACTGTATTGAGTCAGCAATTGATACCTTAATTCCTTTGAAGAAACATACCTAGAAGCTAACTTATCTATAACATTTCATGCTTGGTTTCTAAATACATCTCCATAATCTCCTCTTTACCTACATGCATTCTTCTCAGACAGGTATCAACACTAAATTTCAATGGGGAGATTCACTACTTCATACTAAAAGTTCACTCTATAATATTAAATCTCTTCAGCATAATGACTTCTCAGCTACCACTTTGAGATTTCTCAGAATCAGCAGTTTGAATTACTGCTTAACACATTTTTTCCATACTGGCAATTTCACATGAACTAGATTTCAAGACCCTTTAAGCATGGGCTGCTAAGCTTTAGGCTGGAAGAATTTTGAATGTTAGATAATTTTTTTTTCCTGAGATATTATGTCTAAATGCTTTGACTGAGAAATGACAGCCCAAACCGCCAAACAGCTTTTCTACGTGTATGAGACACATAGGAAACGTGTCTCATGTGAGACATGAGCAACTGCAGTATCTTGCTGACTGGAAAGCATATGAGAGAAGTAATTTCTTTTCCAAATAAAAATAACGTATGGTGTTCTGCTCTGCTTAGCTCAGCCTTTCTCTTTATTAAAATCTATTAATTAGCACTGAAATACACAGTTTCCAGAAATGCTATTCCTTGGTGTTATTGCCTAAAAAGAATACCATGCTCAGGGTTAAGCTTAAAATGACCAACTTCAATATTTAATGCTAGACTAGCTAATGTTTACTACAAGAGCCCATTAGCTCTCACAGCAAAACAGCGTAATGCCATCACAGATAGGCACTCAGATATGAAATGCATAAGAGTCAAGGCTATTCCTGTACTGTACCAGAGAAACATCCCCAAATTTAAGTGACATTATAAAGGTAGGCAGCACACATGTAAACTGTTCATGTTTTTCCTTATTTAAATGTACATAGTTTCTTTTTAAAAGCACTAGTGTAATATATTTAATTTATGCAGGAGAATGAGGAACAGTTCCGGTGCTGACAGTCACTTCTGTGCCTATTAACTATTCATAAAACACTCAATAGCACTGGAAAGAGCCTTTGAAGCAACAGTAAAGGCTTGGCAAAGCTTTTATCATATTAAATATAAAACATGAAACTTCATGTTTACAGCTACCACTACTCATTAGTCAGACAGCAAGTTTTTCATGCTGAAAGCAGCAGCCACCCCAAGTCACGAGAGTACAGATTTTTTTCTTCCATAGTCCTAATGGAACAGGCACATGGATCCCACCTTTCAGAAGAACTAAAATGGATTTACTGGTTCGTGTTACAACCCAAATTGTGCTTGCATTACAACTGAAATAATCTAAAATTACCAAATTATGTTATTGTTTAAAGTGTTAACAGAAGCCGTGTATTCTAATTTCATTGGACAAGTTTCTTCAAAAAGCTATCAGTTTCTCTAAGTTTACACTATACCGGTCATCAGTTTCTCCTCACTTTTTTCACTCAAAATCCCTTGCAAATATAAAATGTACCCAAATTTTCCACAAACAGTTATGAACTGGAAGTAGTTTTAGAGATTCAATCCTTAGAAGCCAAGTTTAATGATGGAAGAAAATACACTGTCATTTATAAACAATAGCAGGGACTTTAATTCCCTCTCACAGATAAGCAGCATTAAGTACCAGATGTTTCAGAAGACAAAGGCCTCATCCTGCTCCTATGGAGTTTACAATACATAGCTGTAATGTGACAGGGGAAGCAAACAGTAGTGTTAATGCACAGAACATACTCAAGACTAATACAAAACCACTCAGTTTCTCAAAAACCTTGGACTGATGAACAAGTAAACCTAGAGTGCTGAAGGTGCTGACAGTTCATTTTCTAGTAAAGTTTTAATGCTGTCTAGGAGGAACTGCTGATTGAACAGGTCTCAAAAAAAGGTTAATGAAGATTTCTAGATACCAAAACTTGTGAAAGTGCCAACTAATATAATCTGAAGTCAGCCTGCCACTTCTTATATTTGGCATATTTTTATATCCTCCAAATTCTTCTAAACAAGTTAGCTGCTTCATTTTGAATTCTTAAGCTGCAGATAGCAAGAAATCAAAGATCAAGTTAGAATTAAAAAAAACATGTAATATGTATTTGGCTTGTTCTTGTTGCTAAGCTACTAAAGCACAGTTATGACTACAAGGCTGTTACAGATTTGTAGCTGCATTTCTGACAACGCAATGTAACATAAATCTCAGCATAGCAATAAAGACAAAGATTAAAAGTCACAAATCAGAACTTATTTCGGTAGGGGCATAGCAACTCAGGCACTTCCAGACCCTTCCAATTCCCAGTATGCATCGATCCAAGCAGCTCTCACTGCTGCCTGTAGTTCTTAAGAATTTAAAACTTCGGGAAATTTAAACACATCAAGAATACAACCACTGCTGAATGGAAAGGGACTATCCAAAGGACTATCTCCTCCAGTTGCTGAAATCTTGTGGCTTACGGAACGAGTAGGACAGGCCGTTCATCTGCCATGTCATAACTACACCTCTGATCCAGGGTACACAAACAGCTAGGAAAGCCAAATACCTGCAAGCAGAAAGTGCGTAACATCAACATGCCTACGGTTTTAATGGTGGTCTCCGGTAAGACTCTTGGATGATTTCAGTGACCAAAGTTTTCTCCAAGATATAGAACACAAGCACACACCATAAAGCTTAGTTGTTAATATTCAACACAGATCTGTAAAGAAGTCTTTTTTGCATACTCAAAAGGCTTCTGGTTCTTCCATTTATTACAAGCAAAGTTAGTTGGTTGAGTCATCACACTTCCCCATGTGCCACTTCTGAAATATAGTTTCTCAAGCCAATTTAATCTCACAGAAAACAACTGAACATTGCTTTTACCAAAACAAGCAGCAAAGGGAATATTACAGCAGTTTGACAGCTATATGCAACCCCTTCCAGTGAGGAATAAATATAGCTCATGTTGAGGCAGACAGATGTTGAGGTTGATAAAGGTAAACAGAACCATGTAAGAGGTAATTACCAAAGAGGCTAGATAAGTCACCCATGAATAACTTAACCCTTCGGTGAATCCAACATTGTTAATTCCCCTGCAGAGGGAACATGAGCCAGAGCACAAAAGATTTCAATTAGTTCCCAAAGCACTAACATTCATAACCAGCTACCTCCATTTCTTATCTCTATGGCATGGATCATCATCATTGCAACCCGACAGCCTTTTGTATCGCTTCGTTGATTTGCCAGCTTTTCTAGAAGCGAAAGCTCTTTTCTTTCCTTCCCCCAAATCCCAATGTTATTTTGGTCACTGGGGTTAGGGAAGGAAGGGAAGAGATATTTCTCAATTATCTGGAGGAAACAGATCTGCTAGAAGAGATCACAAAAGAAATGTAAACTAGTAGACTGGTCAGTAATTAAGAGGACAGTTTATTTACACTGTCTGACCTTACTCTATAGTAAGGTAAAGTCAGCTTAGCCAGCTATACATTTTAAACATCCAAGTGCCAGCACAAACAAGAAAGTCAACAAAAAAGGACAGGTCACTTACAAAACTGGGGGTCTTCCCCATGCAAAGTAGGATGCAAGTTTTTGCATTCATGGTAGACAGTAATTGAACCAACGCCACTAATACAAATTACTTGCATGTCTAAATCTCAACTTACCCAAAAGACAAAACCTCAAAATGAGTTATGGACATTATAAACATTCCTAGATGAAGTTGCATGTGTTTTACTAAGCAGGGCAGTTTGATCAGAAAGCTCCTATTTGGGAAACACTTACCTATTTTAACTATGCCACCAATAGATCCAAAAAGGACATTTGATGAGTTCTGAAAATGAAAATTTTCAGGAAAACTTGGAGGCATAACTCATCAGCATCTCTCATGGCACTAACTGCACTGATTGACCCCTTTGTTGATTCAAAATAAACCAACTAGTAACTTCACATGAAAACACATTTTTAACTATAGGAAGACTGCGTGAAAGAATTTGTACATTACATGCATACAAGTTCAATCTCTTATGCCCTTTTGTCATATCAAATATAAAAATACAGATGTTTCATTTGAGATGCTAACCTTGAAATTTTTAAACAATGTTGTAAAAAGTATTCAATGAACATTATTTTAGAGTTGTTTTTGAGTGCTTCTGTTTGGCCAAAACTGAGCATGCTGTAAGGCACAACTGCATGTATGAGCCAAAGCAAACATTAGCAAACATAGAATATGCATATATTATATATACACTTATACAGTGCACACACATAGTTGATTTATTCATTCATGGAAGCACACTCAGTCTGGTACTTCCATTCAGTTTCATGTAATATTTTCTGAGATCTGATAGAGAACATGATTTTCTGGATTTGATAAAGGTAATACCAGATACTGTTAATACTGTAAACAGTTTATTGGAAACCTAATTACAGTACTCGCCATGAAATTTTAACACTGTCTACTCCTATTCTAAACCTCACTACCCCCCCATTATTATCTAAAGCTACCAGTATCATGGTTTATTCATATCTATTCATGTGTTATAAGCTAGACAGATTAATCACATAAAATGAGACTCACTAGTTGTTTGAAATAAATGCAGTATTTCACTACTAGTTGGAAAAGCCAATTTATCTGTATATTCTGAAGTACTGTAACCTGAAGCATTTCTCCATAAAAAAAGCTTCGTTGCAATCCTAACGTTGTTTCTAGGACACTTAGCTTTTAGTAAAGAAGTTTGGACTTAAATCAGGTTAACATTTTTACAGAGGGAAGCAACATTAGACAGAAGATGAATGCATATAGAAATCCTTCCCACTTAAACATGGTCATACAATTGAACCTGTGGCACAGCCAATAACAAAAAAACCCAAAATCCTTTTTACCTTGTGTATTTTTAGTTGGCATTAAAAATCTTCCACTTCCCTCTTCCTCTGACTTCAATCAATGCAAAGATACAGAAAGTTTCGATTAACAGAAATGAGAATCACTTACCAATTTGTAACAATACCGGTGTTACCAAAGCTGTCTCCATGGCATAACAAAATTCCCTGCCAAACATTACTGCACCATGCATCACCCACAGGCGTATTGGTATCCGGTCTATGGATCCTTCACTAATGGTCTCCTCCCTACTTTCATTCTCCTTGTTCTCTGGTTTCTGAAGCTGTGCCACAGGTAGATCTTGAACTTGCATAGATTCCGAGTCAGCATTCTGGGGAGCCATTTTCATTACCATAAAAAATATATATTTGTTATATCTATATAAATAATACTACCATAACTCCACGAACAAGTTAGGGTGTCTTCTCTTTCAGCTTCTGTTCCTCAGGCAAGTAATGCTTATATTCCTCTTGTACAAACAGGTATCTTGCAACTTCTTGTATATATATGAGACATTAAGAACGAAAAGCTATTTGGTAGGAATTTCAACATATGGCTTGCTGGTTTACTGTGAGTTAGAGTTAAAAATCCATAATTGCCATTCAGTTAATACCAGTTTCATAATTATTATTGAAGAAGTGCTGAAGTTGTTATTCTTGCTACAGAGAGGTGGAAAGGCGACACAAAGAGGTGCTCCACTGTTAATCCCCATCGAGTGGCTGATTAATCTGCAACAAAAAGCAAGCATTTAAAAATTTCAATAGCGTTTTCCAGGATATTGTGCCACCCCCCTTAACCATATACCCCATTTCCTGCTTAATGCTTTCCATTGTCCTTGCCTAGTGTAGGGTCTTTTATTGCACATTCCCTCCTACCTCTAGACTTTCCATTGAAATGCAGTTACTCCTCATATTTAAATGATGCCTTACTCCTAAGTTCCTCCAGTTTGTGGTCTTACATGAAGCCACAGAAGAATATATCAGTGTATTTGTCCAAGATCCTCAGAACATCGAGAACAAGACTAACAAATTCTGGGAAATTTAATGCAGGTTCCATTTCAGAAACAGCGTAGGATATTCCAGTACTATGCCAGGAAGATGATTCATCGATTACCATTTACTCACTGGCCACACAGACATCTCCGTTTAAACTTTTGGAACTTGCCAGTTACTTTGCAGTAACCATCACACCATCTTATAATGAAGATACTCCTCAAGCAAGCATGAGCAAAAATTAGCCATTAGGAATATAACTTTAAGGATTGATATTTAAACATTTAAACTTCTAATGAAGATATATACAGCATATGCATCCATCTTCACTTTCTGCACACAAGACCGGAGCATCTTACTCCCACATCCTATGACGCTTCTGAAGTCCACGAAAATAGAACGGTACAGTATCTTCCAACATACTTTAAAATTACTAAAATATATTCCAACCAGGTAAGACAAGCTTCTCCTGTATTTCCCCCTCCTTTGTGCCACAGAAAGTCTAAGCAGACGTACATACTGTACCATGTCAATCAAAATGTGTTTAAGCACTTAGGAGAAAAAAAGAAAGCATTTTATAAAAAGTCAGATTACATAATGTTTGTACTAGAAGTGTGACTGAACTCGTATCCCAGGACAAAACCCCTCGGGGTACGGTTCCACAACATGCTGGCTTTGGCAGCAAAACCGCCCTAAGAAGTCCCCACACTGCAGCTCCCTGCCCCTTCAGTTGTGGCAACGAAAACTCTTTGTGGGCTAGAGCATAAACCAGATCATTAAGCGGTGAACCTAAAAATGAGCTCTAAGAAAAAAATGACATATTTGGGGTTTAAAGCACATCACAACAGCAACTTTGTTTCAGCATGAGCCCACACGCTGCTCTGGAAGTGCAGCAGAGGAACATCACCTTGAGAACTCCCTCCAGCTGATACCTTCCTTCCAGCTGTACCCCCAGTGGGTTTATTGCATGTATTTTGTTCTTCCATTCAAAAGCATCTTTTTGGGTCTGGGCTTTTTCTCCTCCCAGGCTCCCCAAGATTACTGGAGTTCTCTGATTTGATCACCTCAATAACAACTTAATAATATAATTTGCTTTTGAGCTAGTCAAACCTTTAAATCATGAGAGAAGTTAAAATAACTTCCTGAACTCAAGTGCTATAAACTGAGGCTTAAGTTCAAAGTTTTAATCTATAAGCATTAAATAGCTCAGAACAGAAGGACTTGAGAAAGCATTACTCCACCCTCTCAGAGTAACAGGAAGAATTGAGATGCACTGCCTGGGATTATTGAATTACGGCACACACACAGGTACTTATTCAAGTTCTTCATAAGCATGTTGCTTTTATAGAGGTTTTTCTTTCCACCAGACAGGGTTTGGATTTGCTAAGCTCCTGCATGCAGCAGAGTTCATTTACCTCATTCCAGTAGTTACTGCAGTACTGAACTCACATCAGGAGGCGAAAGGATGTGATTCTCTTACCTTGCTTTAGCGTCTGAGGTTTCAACTCAATCCTTCAAGGGCTATTAGTTTATCAAATATGAAGTTAAGTACTGTATGTATTAAAAAACACACATCCACTTTTCATAACACAAGTTCTGGGTGAGTAAAACCTACAAAATACAGGTTCCAGAGTAGCAGCAATTATTTTAATTACAGACTAGTCATAAGATGTTTAATTGCTGGCAGACTCAGGCAAAATTACATTCAGTAGAATTTAAAAGTTTACATATCAGCTCTTATTATTCAGAAATCACTCAGAACGTGTGTTGTATTACAGACTAAAGGTCATAGATAACACTCTTGTACAAGATGGCTTTAAAGTCTCTAGCATTTTCTTATGCGTAATTTCCCCTCCTGTCACTGTCTGTGAAGGATTTAACTCAATTTCCCTAAACACCTCGTTTAATACGCAGTTACAGAGTAGCAGAATGAGGCAGGGAGAGGAAGGCAGTTCATCACACCAGAATGTTTTATGATGCATTGGGGCAGCCAGCATACGCAAGCAGGATGACACCAGGCTGGGAGCATTTGTTACTGGAAAGGATAAAGAGGCTATCTGAGATTTAGCCCATTTGAGCAAGACCCTTAAGGGATGACTGAAAAAGTTATTCTTAAAGTGGAAGATGATGGGGAGTGATCAGATAATTTAAGAGACAGGAATAATGGATGATAGATAGAGGTAGACTTTGAAGCTGTAATTGACGCAGATAAGAAGAACAGTATATTTTAAACATGCCAGAAAAAGCAGTTACAGTATTCAAGTGCAATAGCAAGACACACAACGGACAGGTTTTATCTAAAGGAACAGAGAATTACTGTTCCATTATGCCAATTTTGCAGTAAGCATAACACTAGTCTTCCTACAGCACTTTCATCTGACTCCAAGTGCATGTCTAATACAAGAGCCAGAGATTAACAAGAGCCTCTCAGAAAGGTCTTCCAGTTCTTTTGTAAGTCCTGCTAGGTTGTGTTCATACTCATTTTAGACCAATCCAGATTCTGCTGCTGCTTTTTCCAAGTTCATTTTGAATTTGCCAAGTTTGAATAGTGGCATTCTTCCTTACCGAAAAGGGAGACAAATTCATTTACCTGCTAGAAGTAAACATTACAGAAGCTTTTATGCAGCAAAGAACTCCAAAGTAAATGGCATCTAAAGATGAGCTGGATTAAAATACCAGAGAGGGCATGTTCCCATGTCTGCATCTTACACAGTTTTTTTTTTCCATGTTCGTTGGCTAGTAAAACCAAACCTTAAAATTTAAATATGTTTTTTTAATTGTAGTATTGAATATCCATGGTAATTTCCAATACAGTCCCTTTACTCATGCAGTTCAAAGACTTTATTACATGGAGTCCACCTAAGAAATAGGGCAGCTTTATTACTATCATTTTTTAAGAAGTGATGCATTAGGCTTACATTTTATCTGTCATTCAAGCAGACTAGGTACTAAGAGAGCTGGCATCCCTTCCTCAAACAGACGTTAAGAGGCATGGTGCAAAAGATTTCATAAAGACAGTTTCCCTTTCATCTTGTTGTTTAACCTCAGCCAGCAACTAAGCACCATGCGGCTACTCACTCACTTCCCCCTCACCCAGTGGGATGGGGGAGAGAATTGGGGAAAAAAAGTAAAACTCCTGAGTTGAGATAAGAACAGTTTAATAGGGCAGAAAGGAAGAAAATATTAATGGTAATAACAATAAAACAACAACAATAATAAAAGAATTAGAATATACAAAACAAGTGATGCACAATGCAATTACCACTCACCAACTGATGCCCAGTTAGCTCCTAAGCAGCAATCCCCCTCCCAGGCCAACTCCCCCCAGTTTATATACTAGACATGACATCCCATGGTATGGAATACCCCTTTGGCCAGTTTGGGTCAGCTGTCCTGGCTGCGTCCCCTCCCAACTTCTTGTGCCCCTCCAACCTTCTTGCTTGCTGGGCATGAGAAGCTGAACTCTTGGTATAAACACTACTTAGCAACAACTGAAAACATCAGTGTGTTATCAACATTCTTCTCCTACTAAATCCAAAACATAACACTATACCAGCTACTAGAAAGAAAATTAACTCTATCCCAGCCAAAACCAGCACACATCTGCACCTTTCTGACCACCCATCCATGTAGCAGCTAGACAAAGTAATTTGAAAATGTAAACTGGCACGAGACAGCATTTCTCAGGAAGCTGAGACCATGCCCCCCATTCTGCCATGCACTCTCACTGTACTTTCCATAAAGTTTTAAAAGGCATTTTCATGACTAACAAAGAGTAAGGAAGTAGAATGAAGAATTTCAGCCATGGAAAGAGGTTCGTGTTGGGCATTGTACAGAGGTTGGGTATGAAGAGAAGTTTAGACACAGAAACATTCCTATCTTGAAAAGTGTTTATGGGAGGAGGGGACTGATTACACTCACTCTTCAACCTAATTGCACATTTTACTTTTACCTTTGGCCACATTGCAACAGTGACAAAACCTATAAAGCGGTAGTTAATATTTTAACAAAACAGGCAAGTAAGACATTCTGAAAACTAATCTGTAAGCAAAATTTTATAAAAGCTGCTCAAATTGCTTGTAATCTTATCCATTATACTTTTACTATCTATCTACGATCTAGGCATAAGTCATAACATGACTATATGAAGCACAAAACATGTTACAGGCTGGGCAAGGCTACATCACAATAATCCTGTGCCTCAAATAGGTAGCATTCACAGACAAAGCACGTGAACCATTCAAGAACCAGAGGAAAATTACTGCCTTTCTTCAGGGTTTCCAAAGAGGAAGAGCTATATAAGGTCATATTTGTGGCCCACAAAATTCAGTGGTTTTCTTTTCCCTAGCGAGCACTAAGATGCTAGAGATGCACAAAAAGCTCACACTAGACAATTATACAACACAGTGCCTCTGGCAAATGACTTCTGTCACACTTCTCGGCGTGTTTTGTAAGTTTAGGACTTAGACATTGACAAGCAGTGGTTTTTGCATTTGTGATACCATCATCTGGAGGTCAGAAAATTGGTAGTACACCCATCAATACCAAAATAAATGGGGTTAATGGTGATCCTGGCCAAATCCTTTAAGACTGAACTATTTTTAATGCATGTTTCCAGATATCTCTTGCTAACAAGGAATAGGAATGTACTGTTCAACAAGCAACTAGATTTTCTGAACCAGTGCCAAAGCATATGACTTTAATTAAGCTATGGAGTATGCAGCAAGTTACAGGTA